CACACACACACACAAACACACACACAAACACACACTCTCTCTCTCTCTCTCACACACACACACTCACACACACACACACTCACACAGATACACACACTCTCTCACACACACATACATACACACACACAATCGCTCCCTCACACACTTCCTCTATCCCCCCAATCTTTCTCTCAGTCTCTCTGACACACACACACTACTGGTCATACTGCTCACACATGCACATTCCCTCATATCTCTGACCCCCCCACACATTCCATCTCTCTCCCACAGTGTCCCTCATGCACACATTCTCTCTCTTCCACACACTGTCCCCCACCTCTCCCTCTCTCCTATACAACCACTCTCTTTCTAGCATATTCTCTGTCTCCCCCCACCCTCTTTCTCTCTCTCCCCATTTACATTTCATGCTCTCTCTCTCCCCCCCACCCTCTTCACCCCCACACACACTCACTCTCCCTCTCTATTTCTCACAGACTCACGCACACACTCTTTCTCTCTCACACATTCTCTCTCTCCCCACACTCTCTCTCCCTCTGACAAAAATCCAAAAGAACTGCGGATGCAGAAATCAGAAACAAAAACAGAAATTGCTGGAAAATCTCAGCAGGTACTGCAGCATCTGTGGAGAGAAAGCAGAGTTAATGTTTCGGGTCTAGTGACCCTTATTCAGAATTTTCTTCAGTTTTGAGCCGAAACTCTTTTTCTCCAGTTGCTGCCAGGCCTGCTGAGTTTTCCCAGCAATTTTTGTTTTTGTCTCTCTCTCTCTTTCACTCTTTCTCACTCACTCTCTCACATTCTCTCTCACACACATTCTTTTCTTCCTCATACAGTCTCTCACATTCTCTCTCTTACACACATTCTCTTACACTCCCTTTCTTTCAAACATATTCTGTCTCTGTCATACATACACACGCTCCCACACACCCTCTCCTTCTCACACACACACACACACACACACACACACACACACACACACACACACACACACACACACTCTCTCTCTCCCACCCTCTCTCTCCCCATCCCTCTCTCTCTCTCTCTCTCACACTCTCTCTCTCTGACACTCTCTCTCCCTCCCTCTCTCTCATACTCTCTCTCTCTCTAAGTCGATCTCGGACGTGTTTGAGTTCCATGTCAAAATAGTAAATTGAAAGTTTTAATTCCAGGAGCTCAGAGTTGCCAAGCGTGCTTAGTCAGAGAGCTAATTCTGCAGAACAGACCAGAACAAAAACAACTGATAGTTGGATCACCCAGTCAGTTCAAACACAGAGTGTTTCGGTGAAAGCAGTCCATTCCGAGCGTGCAGTAGGAGTGAGTAGTGAGACAGACCGTGCTGGGCTTACATTTCACTCAGTTTCAGAGTGGAATGGATCGAGTAGATAGAACCAGCCAGTGTCGAGTTAGAGATCTCAGGTGGCTGTGCTGGCACCTCTTCACAGAACATCAGCACATGGTTGTCAGTGTCTGTCAGGGAACCTGACGAGCTGCGCCATGCTTCCAACTGCTTCCTCCTCTTCCTCCTCTTCGTCCGCTTCACAGCCTTCAACATCTCACTGTCCCTGGCTCCTGCCCTCCCTCACTCACCGTGTAGGCAAAGCTTACAGCCTGGTTCTTGATCATGGATCTCCCTACCTCCCAGTGAGAGATCACAAACCACCTTCCAGATCCCTAGCTGGATTGAGCTGGGAGAGGCCAAGGCAGGGTGTGTCAGTGAGGTACAGCTGGGAACCTGAGTTACACACAGCAAATAGCAGAGAGACACTCAAACAATCTCAGCCTAAAGCCACATATTCCAGATCTGTCTCTCAATCACAGTGACACACCCATGAAAAGGCAGTGTATATTCATCCCCTGCCAGGTACACACCCTGTAAACATTAATCCACCCAGCATCACACTGCAGACCAACCACTGCTCAAACACCATTAGTCAGGCACGTTCAAACACTGCACAAACACGCCTTTTACATATCCAAATACCACAAGAAAGAACACTGTAATAACCTCACAACAAAAAACCAAGGGCAGTCTTCAGAGTAACACAGAGTAATACCTCAGGTCAAAATGTCATTGTGTATGCTGGTGTGTCAGCATCAATACGTGTGTGAGTGAGTCTATCTGCATGTTGATGTGTGTCATGTTGGTGTATATGTGTGTGTGTGTGTGTGTGAGAGAGAAAGTGTGTGTGTGAGTGAGAGAGAGAGTATGTGTGAGTGAGAGAGAGAGTGTGTGTGTGTATGTGTCAGAGAAAGTGTGTGTGTGTGAGAGAGAGAGAATGTGAGTGTGTGAGTGTGATTGTGCATGTATGTGAGTGAGTGTGTGTGTAAGAGTAAGAGTGAGTGTGTCTGTGTGTGAAAGTGAGTGTGTGTGTGTGATTGTGCATGTGTGCATGTGTGTGAGTGAGTGTGTGTGTGTAAGAGAGTGTGTGTGTGTGATTGTGCATGTGTGTGAGTGTGTGTGATTGTGCATGTGTGTGAGTGAGTGTGTGTGTGTGAGAGAGTGTGTGAGTGTGAGTGTGTAAGGACCGTGCGGCCCCTGAGCCTGCCTAGGTACCTGTGCCGGTGGATGACTGCGTTGAAGAGTTTGCCGTCCCTCCAGCTGCTGGTGAAGTTTTCACAGCGCAGGTCTGGGTATCCCTCCACCATCCTCTGAGACCAGAGCAGCAGCTTCTCTTTGGCTGTCATATCGTCAGACTGGCCAGTGACCTGGATATCTGAGATCTGGAAAGAAAAACCATTTGTTCATTCTCAATGACAACAGCTGAAACTAACCAATAACTAATCTGAACTCAGCTTCAATTAGAGAATATTTACAATGTAGGAGGCCATTCAACCCCTCATCATTGTGAGACTAACTCACTTAATGTCAGTGGCTGCCTTTTCAGACAATCATGGACAATGCAGTGTTAATATCACTCACTGGATAGTATTACTGTTGTAATACAGCCATTCAATATCACCAGGTCTGGCCTTGGAATTCAACTCCTTGGGATTCCACCCACTCCTATGCTTCCCTGAGAGTCAAAAACGCCATGTGCTGTACGTTGACCCACCACGCCATTAGAGAAGGAATTCCAGGATTGTGACCCAGCAACAGTGAAGGAACGGCGATATATTTCCAAGTCAGGATGGTGAGTGGTTTGGAGGGGAACTTGCAGGGGGTGGTGTTCCCATGTATCTGCTGCCCTTGTCCTTCTAGATGGAAGTGGTTGTGGGTTTGGAAGGTGCTGTCTAGTTCAGTGAATTCCTGCAGTGCATCTTTTTTTTATTCATAGAATCCCTACAGTGTGGAAACAGGTCCTTTAGCCCAACAAGTCCACACCGACCCTCAGAGCATCCCACCCAGACCCATCTCCCAATAACCCACCTAATCTACACATCCTTGATCACAATGGGCAATTTAGCATGGCCAATCCACCCTAACCTGCACATCTTTGGACTGTGGGAGGAAACCGGAGCACCCGAAGGAAACCCAAGCAGACACGGGGAGAATGTGCAAACTCCACACAGACAGTCGGCTGAGGGTGGAATCGAACCCAGGTCCCTGGCGCTGAGGCAGCAGTGCTAACCACTGAGCCACCGTGCCACCCAAATTTTGTAGATAGTACACACTGCTGCTACTGAGCGTCGGTGGTGAAGGGAGTGGATGTTTGTGGATGTGGTGCCAATCAAGCGGCTGCTTTATCCTGGATGGTATCAAGAGAGTGTTGTTGGGGCTACACCCATCCAGGCAAGTGGGGAGTATTCCATCACATTCCTGACCTGTGCCTTGTCGATGGTGGACAGGCTTTGAGGAGTCAGGAAGTGAGTTACTTGCCGCAGTATTCCCAGCTTCTGGCCTGCTCTTGTAGCCACTATGTTTATGAATTTCTGGTCAATGGTAACCCGCAGAATGTTGATGGTGGGGGATTTGTCTCTCCTCTGTTCAGATACAATCCATCTGCATCCAATCTTCCTCAGATCCAGACCCAGTGGTCAAGAATCTAAAGGCCTCCGTCCTACACCATCTTTCCAGCCACACAATCCTTTCTTACCCTCCTGCTCCTCTATGTATCTACATGGGAGTAATGCAGAGATTATTGCTTTCAAGGTCCTACTTGCCACCATCTTCCCTTGCTGTCTGGGCTCTGATTGACTATGGGACACAGGTGACTGACCCTCTCCTTCAGACTGTCCTGCAGCTGCTGTGAGACACTCCTGATCCTGGCAACCGGGAGGCAACACTCCATCCTGGAGTCATGTCTACAGCCGCAGAAAGGTCTTGGGCAGGAGCACTGCGAGGCCAGATTCCAGAGGATTACTGTGCTGAGGCAAGTTCACCTAAACAGCAGAGTTTACTGCATTGAAAGGAACCTCATCAAAGGAGGAAAGTGAAGGAACAATGTGCTGAGGGTTTAGGGAGAACATTCCAGATCCTGGGCCCAGGCCTGGGTAGCCTCATGCACAGCCACCAGCCATGCGAGGATCAAACCAAGAGATCAGCATTCGAGAAGGACTAAGGCTGGAGGTGGATTGCAGAGATAGGGAGACACAAGGTATGGGGGAGTGCAAAAAGAAATGAGAATTTTCAAACCAACTCTCAAAACCGAAAGCTAGTGGGGATTGAAAACAGGAGCTTCCATCTTCCCAAGATGAAATGGGAGGAATCTCTGCCCATTCTGAAAGGCACAGTCTGAGAAATTCATTGAGTAGGGGCGGGGGGCTGGGGGGAGGACCTGGGTGTCACAGGGTCTACATGGAAACTAGCCCCATCCCTCATATGGTGTGACCAAGGGACAAACAATAGGAGGGCACAGGGTCTTTGGGAGCACCTGGGGTAACGGTATGGGGTTGGACAGGAAGAGAAACCTATGAAGTTGGTTCTGTGATTGTAAAGATAGGGAGGGAGAGAGAAAGACAGAGAGATAGGGAGAGAGACAGACAGAGATGGAGAGAGACAGAGAGAGAGACAGCAGCAGACAGAGAGAAAGAGACAAAGAGAAAGAGAGAAAGATTGAGAGAGAAACAGATAGACAGACAGACAGGCAGAAAGAGAGAGACAGAGACGGAAAGAGAGACAGAACGTCAAAGGGAGACAGCAGAAGTGACAGAAAGAGAGGCAGAGATAGACAGAGATATATAGAGAGAAATAGAGAGCTAAGGAGACAGAGAGAGATCGATGGGGGGGGGGTCATAACAGCTTGCCCCTGTGCTGGGGGGTTTATAATGGGATCCCCTGTCCTGGGGATTTTTAATGGAACCCCCTGTCCTAGGGGGTTTATAATGGGATCCCCTGTCCTGGGGGGTTTATAATGGGATCCCCTGTCCTGGGGTTTTTTTAATGGAACCCCCTGTCCTGGGGGGTTTATAATGGGATCCCCTGTCCTGGGGGGTTTTTAATGGACCCCCCTGTCCTGGGGGGTTTATGTGATTCTCTGCCACCCTGTTTCTCCTCTGAGCTATTCTTACTACAAGTGCACAGGCAGCTCCTACACTGGGCCTACACAAGGCTGTCATTGTTGAGTTGCTCCAAGCTGGACTGTGTTCTGACTAATCCCAGTGCTTTAGTGGGGCCAGAATAAGCAGCCCCTGAAATGGTGCACACAGTAGCAAAACATGAACAATATCACAGCACCGCCCAAACAACCCAGCACAGAGTGGGCATGGGTCCAACCAGACATTCCAACATCTGGGAAAGGGGTAGGGAACCAACAGAAACACACTGGTAACAATCTGTGTTAGAGAACAGGAGACAGACAGAGAGAAGGGAGGGGAGACGGGGGAGGGCAGAGAGAGGGTGACGGGACAGAGGGGGAAGGCAGACAGGGAGAGACAAAGAGACAGAGAGAAGTGAGGGGAGGGGGGAGTGAGGGGGAGGGAAGAGAGGGAGAGACAGAGAAAGACAGAGAGAAGTGAGGGGAGGGGGGAGTGAGGGGGAGGGCAGAGAGAGCAAAAGAAGCAAGTGAAGGAGGAGGGCAGAGAGAGAGAAGCGAGGGGCAGACAGGAAGAGTGAGGAGGGGACAGAGAGAGGGAGAGAGTGAGAAACAGAGAGGGGGAGAGAGGACCCAAAAGTGAGATAGTGACAAAAACAGGGAGGGAGGAAAGAGGAGGAGATAGAGACGGAGAGAGGGATACAAAGAGCGAAAAAGAGAAAAACAGGATACAGAGAGGCAGAGGAAGGGAGACAGTAAGAAAGAGAGGAGGACAGAGAGTGTATGTGTGAGAGAGAGACCAATAGACAGGGAAAGAGGGAGATAGGAGAGAGAGTGCTGATGTGAAGGATGGAAGGAATAGGATGAGATGAAAAGTGTGTGCGACAAGGCTTGTCAGGAGCAGAAAGCTGAGTGACTGATACTTAGACTGATATTAAACACGAAACAAGACAGTGTGGAACATTGAAATGATACGTGGTCAGCATGCACATGTTGGACTGAAGGGTCTGTTTCCATGCTGTACATCTCTATGACTCTATGACATTGACCAGTTGGATGGGTGACGTTCAATGCAGAGAAGTGTGAGGTGATACACATTGATAACAGAACATTGAGAGACAATATAAAATAGAGGGTATAATTCTAAAGGGGTGCAGGGGCAGGGGGAACTGAGGGTATATGTCACAAATCATTGAAGGTGGTGGGACACGGGACAGAGCAGTGAATAAAGCAGACAGTGCCCTTGGCTTTATTAATAGGTGCATAGAGTACAAGAGCCAGGAGGTGATGTTAAACTTGTACAAGATACTTGTTAGACCCTCAGCTGGAGTATAGTGCACAGTTGTGGGAGCCACATTATAGGAAAGACGTGAATGTATTGGAGAGAGGTGAGAAAGCAGGAATAGTTCCAGGACTGAGAAACGTCAGTCAGGAGGATCGATCAAAGCAGTTGGGACTGTTCTTGTTGGTAAGGAGAAAGCTGAGAGGGAGATTTAATCAAGAGTTTCAGTAAATTAACAGAAACTGTTTCACTGGCAGGAAGGTCGGTGACTAGATAATTGGCAAAAGATGTAAGACACGGCAAATGTTTTTCACAGCAAGGGGTGTGGATTTGGAATGCACTCCCTGATAGGGGCCTGGACATAGATCCAGTTGTAACCTGCAGAATGAGAGCAATCAACATTTGGAGGAGGAATCTTGCAGGGATAGGAGGAAGGACTTGAAGAATGGAATTGACTGGGCTGTTGTACAGAAAAGTCAGTACAGACTCAGTGGGTGGAATGGCCACCCGCTGTGCTATACAGTTCTGGGTTTCTGTAAATGGCTTCCCTCTGTGCTGATTTAAGTGTTCTGTATAAATGTTAAAGAAACAAAGCTGCCTTTGTCCTGTAGAGTGAGACTGAGAAGGACGAGGCTGACGATTCTATTCCGACACTGCAACTTCAAAACTGTGCCTTTGGGCTTGTGGAAACAACACAGAGCCCTGTCCTTACAATATTCACGGCTTTGCATTGAGGACAGCAAGTTTCCAAACCAGACAACAGGAGCTTTCATGTATCTAACATCCTCTGTGTCCCAGATTTCTGCTGTTTCTAATTTTGTTTTACTTTTGAACTGCTGAGTTTGTTCTCAGTCAGGTCTGAGCCTCCAGCTGACAGTGTTTAACCACATATTTAACTCATACCGAATTTTAAACACATAGGGCAGCTATAGAGAGAACAGATCAGAGAAAGAAAGAGGAGGCACTGCCTTTTCCCTCTCCTCAAGCCGTATTTCAGACCACATTGGGATGCACCAAGTATTTGCTTT